TACAAAAGGGGCTTATTGGGCCTCTTAAAGAGAGATCTAATAAGCTCCCCTAAAAGGAGAAAGAGGGAGGCCCTCTTATGGTGCTTAAGTGGGCCTCAAATGAAGACCCAAATAAGCCCCAAAAGAGGCCCAAAAGGAAAGACACATAGGTTCCCCCCCCTTAGGGTTTTAATTGGGCCTCAAAGAGAGACCCAATAAAATCCTAAAGAAAGGGAGAAAAACAACAACACACACACATAGAAATGGGCCCGCTAACACACAAATGTGAGGCCCAACAAGTCAACGTGAAAATACAAAGAAAGATACGGGTGAGCTTGAGCTCGTCATCGTCGCAGAGGTGGAATGTTGTCGTCCCAAAGGGCTAGGCCGCATAGCGAAAGCCAAGCTCCTTCATCTTTGTGCGTCGATCAGGCTGAACTCAGACTACCGATGTCTCCTAAGCTAATGGAGATGGGTCTTGCTTGCCATCATACTCCTTCGACACATAATATATAACATGGATTTGATTTTACAGATTTTTTACTTCATGATCTTGATGGATAGTACTTACTTAATGTGAAAATTTGATTGATCATTTGAGTTTAATGGAGATTTTTGTACCCCAATCTATAGGACCTGTGAGGAAAAATTACTTATTTCGAAAAAAAATAAAAAAGAGAGAGCAATGTGAAAAATCTAGAAACGAAGAGTACACATAGAGGGTGTGAGACATTATTCTCATTATTGAAAATCATGTATAGAAAAACACTTACTGTAAAATAAGTGGATAAAGTGAAAGCCCTGAAAATGAAGTGTACACATAGAGGGTGTGAGACATCATTCTTATTGTCAAAAATTTTCTACGAAAAAAGCTACTTATCCACTATATATATAAAAAAAAAGAGAAGGAAGAAATATAGTACAAACTTCAAAAATCAAGCCATGAAAAAAAGGAAATATAAGATCAATATATATTCTTGGATGAGTATTAATAATTAGAACATCTTGTAAATATATCTATGAGTGAAGAAGTGATAAAGATGTGAATAGAAGAAGTGAAGTCTAGATTGTTATTCGAAGAAATGCTTAAACATTTAAGTGCTTGACATCATTCTTAAATACTTGATATAAGAATCTAAAGTGTCTAAAGGTGCATCATTTCTGATTGTATTTTTTTTCTTTTTATGTATTGAAATATGATGTTTGAGATTTGTAAATTTTTATTTTCGTAATTCCATTGCTAAGGGACTAGCAATGATTTAAGTTGGGGGGTGTGGTAAGTCTTAATTATCATGAGTTAATAATTAGTAAATAATATAGTTTTAGCCTTAATTCATGATAAATAGACTTATATTTATGTTAAAGTGTGAAAAGTTGTTTTCAATTGATTAACGTGAATTTTTGGGTAATTATGTGGCTTTATACGATTTTACATGATTTTTATAGTTTTACTTTTGAGATAAATGAAGAAAAAGAAATTAAAATAAAAATAAGACAAAATGGGGGGACCCGCTGGCCAATTGGGCCTACAAGTAGATCGGAAGTGCAATCGGGGAGTAGCTGTGAGTAGGGGCTCGAGTGGCTTGGACCAATTGGACACATGTGCGCCACCCCCCTTCCATGTCACTGGTGGCCAATCGACTGTGGGACAAGGAGTGGTCGTACACATGCGAGAAAGGGACTTGATCAGAAATGTAGTATTACTATATATTCACTAGAAATTTCAGCACACAATTGATGTGGGACTTTTTAACCCACGTCACACCTCCCCAGAAAGGGCGAGGATGCAACCGGTGCAGGTTCAAATCCTCCCAAAGCCAAAATTCATATTTTATTTATTTGATTATCGTGACTTTCCTACAGATCGTTGGTGAAGAATTAAGCAACTAGAATCACTGAATCATTGATGAAAATCTTGTCAACACGATTCGTGGAGCATTGTTACTAAAATTGCTAAACGATTCGCGATAAAAGCATCGCAAATCCATCGAGTAACTCATCTCTGATTGATCGACGAACAAGCTATCATTGGGAAGAGGACAATCTGTTGGGAGACGAGTCACCACCTCTTGAGAGCATACTAGATGCAATGAAGAGCCTCTTCTTGCTGCACAGATCTGAGGATGAAGCTTCTTGACACACACCTCACCTGCATCCAGCTCTTCTTTGTCGGGTGACAGCCACTAGAGAGCCGCAAAGTTGTCATTTTTCCGTTCCACTAGGGGTGACAGCCGCCAGAGAGGATTCAACAACCCATTCATTGATCTTTAGACTTTGCAAGGAGATCTAGAGATTGCTCACATTGTCTTTGTCCAAGGAGAGCCTTCAAGGCCATGGACACTACACGACAATCCTCCCGAATGCTCAAGATTCTGGTGCATCGCCGACGCATCACCGCCTTGACGTCGGAATTTTATTTTCCTACTTTCAACTTAATTTTCGTTCCATTTAGTGATAATTTGTTGATTTTAAATTTACAAAGATATACTTCATTTCATTACGATTCTTCTGACTTTTGTAAGAATCACTAGGTGGAACTCTATTTTCACCCGATTTGCATTCGCCAAGTGCTAGCATCATCCTGATGTCTACACCCGTATTTCTTTTTTTTGTAAATTTTAAATATATTTCATTTTCATTTACTAGTATAAAATTCATAGAAAATAGTATTCTTTGAGGACAATTTTGAATAATTGCCAGATACTATATTACATCCCTCTGATTGACCTAGAAAATTACCATTATTTTTGAAATTTTTATTGAATTATAATTGATATATTTATTCAGAAATATTTCTAAATATCTGAAAATTCATATTTTCTAGTTTTATAAATTTTAAATTTGCATGATTTACAATACAACGACTAAGTCACATCAATAATCAATGTATCCCTTTCTAACATGTGTATGGCCACTCTTTGTCGCATGCCTAATTGGTCATTGGTGATGTGGAAGGGGAGTGACGCACATGTGTCCCCCTATCAGTTTATCTTTAGCCGCTCAAGCCCTTACTCATGATTCCGCCTGTCAATGCTTCCAACCTATTTATGGGCTCGACTAGGTGGCATGTTTTCTCTTTCTTCTATCTTTTTATTTTATTTCTCTTTATTTAACTCAAAAATAAGATTATAAAAATTATATAAATTCACATAAAATCCCATAATTAGCAAAATTAACTAACTAAAAACTATTTTTCATAATTTGACGTAAGTATAAGTCTAAATATCATGAGTTAGGATTAAAACTATATAATTAATTAATTATTAACTCATGATAATGAAGACTTATCAACCATCTTCACTAAAGTATGTATTTTTTGATTAACATCAAACTTATCCAATGATTATATCATCGTATTTGTCTAAGGATCAAGAGAATAGATTACTTGATGTACTTAGGACATAAAGAGAGGTGATTGGCTGGTCCCTCGCAGATATTTGAGGACTTTATCTATTTGTGTGTATGCACATATTTTATTGTGAGCAGAACTATCATTTCTTTTTATGCATTTCCTTACTAGCTTTTGTTTCAGACATATTTTATTGGTCGAGTGCTTTAGTTAGAACTATTCAGGGGCAACAATGTAGTAGATGGGGCATAAAAACCAGAATTTTCTTCCCTTTTCCCTTCTCTCACATGCATTAAGGACAATGCAAGACTTAAGTGGAAGAGGTTATCTCTTCCTTCATTTGCATGCATTATCAATATTTAGTGCATAAAATTAAGAGGTTTTGATATAAAGGTCTAAAATAAAAGAAAATCAGAATGAGTTGGGCTGGGCCGAGCCAAGTGACCCAATGGGCCGGAATATTCAGAGGCTAAAAGTTAAACCATCAACAGGTCGACAGTGGAAGCAGAACCGACGAGTTGGCATGACACTTAAGCAGATGTGGGACACGTGGCCCACACGGGTTCGACGACATTTCAACGGACATCGTGAACAGAAATTGGCACAATTTACGTCAGACCTCAAAGAGAAATGTAATTGGAGATCCGTACCTAATGGCAGAACGTGAAAGAAGAGCGGGTGATAGAGTAAGGCTGTCATTGATCTCTCTTTCTTTCGCGCCTTTTCTCGCTCCCTTTGTCTGTCTGCTCTCTCTCACTCTATCTTGCTCTCGCTTTCTTTCTGTGGATGCGTCCTCGCTCTACGAAGCACGGCGGAGTTCGGACAGCCTGCCGCCTTCTCCTCTCCTCTCCGTCGAGTTCTTCTGGAACCCTTTCTCGTGCGCGAATCCGGAGGAAGAGTGGGAGGCCGCATCCGGCGGAGGAGTCCACCGCCGAAGACGCCGAGGTCACGGTCGGCGCCGCCTCACGGAGAGGTCGTACGTTCCCAGGCTTCTGCTTCCCTGAAAGGCCGCTCCGGGTATGTTCTAGTGCCGTCTTTCGACGAATTCTCGCCTTTCGTTGATTCGGGGGTTATGTTCTAGTGCCGTCTTTCGATGGGTTCGTGATTTTCTGTGTCGGGGGCATCTTCTTGTGGACTCTTTGGATGGGATCTTTATTTTCTTTGATTTGGACTTTCGGTTGCCTGCGGTGGTGCGGGTGGTGCGAGATTGCTGAAGAAAGCTCTGGCTTTCCTCCTTCCTCTTATTTATTTACCTTCTTCCGATTTGTTTTGCCGCTTCGTTGCTGATTCGATTTGATGTTTGGTCTGGGTAGGGGGATCTATCTTCTTCTTTAGACTTCCATCCGATTGCTCTTTGGGGACGGATGAGTGTTACCGTCTGGAGGAGAAAAGATTATTTCAGCAAGGTTTATCGATTGACGGTGACGGGTGAGCGTGTTGAATCAAGGGGCACATTCGATTTTCGGATCGCTGAGCGATCGACCAGTTTCTGGAGAAGAACCCGGTGATTTCCGGCAGGAAACAACACCCTCCGTACCTGCAGCTCTCCCGAGCGTTATTCCCCACCCAGAAAAACCATCAGAACTTGGTGGCGGGCTGTCCTGTTGAGAAAGCAGCTGGAATCGAGGGAGGAAGTGTGGACGAGGTTGTCGGGCTACAGGAGGAAGCGAGGATGTCTCCCATCCCGGATCGGGTACATGCTTCGACGTCCCTCATTCCTTTCCTTGACGGCGACTGTAGAGAGCTTTCTCTCTCCATCCCAAAGCACATCACATCTTGACAATAGGAATGTCCTATCCAAAATCGACAGGTGCAGGTCGGAAATTCTCCATTATACAAGGTAGAGAGAATGTTGGGTGCAGGAGGTTTTGGGCTGGTCTACATTGGACGAAGGGTGGCTGGTGGATCTCAGGGCGATGGGCCCAATGTCTTTAAGGTTTAGTTTCAACCTCCCATCACTCCTGCCAAGGGAATCTTTAAATACTGCTGTTTTATGTTGTCTCTTTCATTTTCCTGCGGTGGGTGTAGGTAGCACTGAAGTTTGAGCATAGAAATAGCACGGGTTGCAGATTTGGCCCCCCATATGAATGGCAAGTTTATGAGTAAGAAGACACCCCCTACTGCTCTAATTTATTACGTATTGTGTCGATCTAAAACTACGTTCTTCATCTGACTTTGTGAATATGGTTTTAGCCATCTCAAGGGATGCTATGGATTGCCTAGGGTGCACTACAAGGGCCGCCAAGGAGATTATTTCGTCATGGTTGGCGTAGAGTCTTTCATTTTATTGTTTCCTCGAATTATGTTTTTTATTGAAAGCTAATTATGATATTGTTGATGATGATTGCTGCAGATCATGGACATCCTTGGACCAAGTCTCCTGGATGTGTTCATATCCATTGGGCAAGTGTAAGAAAATAATCTTGACTTCATATTCAAAGTCAATATTCTGTTGAGAATTGTGCTATTGAGTTTGACTAACTCCTTGGACAGAATGCCACCAAATATGGTGGCTTGTATTGCTGTGGAGGCAATATCCATCCTTGAGAAGCTACACCAAAAAGGGTACGTATGGCTTTGTGGCAGTGTGATATTTTTTCAATTAAATTTTTGCAAAGGTCACAGTAATCAATTCATTGCTCCCTTGTGCACTCCCCTCCCTCCCTCCACCCACACAAAAAAAAAAACATGCCAGGTTTGTGCATGGAGACGTCAAGCCAGAGAATTTATTGTTGGGTAAACCCAGAAGCTCAGGGGAGAAGAAGCTTTTTCTCATCGACTTTGGGCTGGGTATGTTGCTGCATTCCAATCACTTCTTGTTTTCACCTTTCGCACCTATTGATTTTAGAGTAGGGTTTGTTTTTCCAAGTATATAAACAAATTCGTCTTGACTGAGAAGTCCCTGTCTGTATCAACATCAGTGATATTTTTGTGCTTTGTTCAGAGCCTGTACAAATGCTAATTGGTGTCATTAATATTTTAATCAGCTTCAATGTGGAGGGACAGTTTGTCAGGCCAGCATGTCAGCTTATGCCAACAGCCAGATAATTTCAGGTTTTTTGGGAAACGATATTCTATTTTTTCCCTAAATTCTTAGCTAAGAGGAGGATTCATAAAATCTTACCCCTACCTTACTATCTATCTCATGTTCCCTAGGGGCACAACACGATATGCAAGCGTCCATGCACATTTAGGCCTCACAGCGAGTAGAAGAGATGATCTTGAGTCATTGGCCTACACTCTGATTTTTTTGATTAAAGGAAGGCTGCCGTGGGAAGGCTATCAGGTTTGCTTTCACCTCTACTTGTACATGTTCTCCCATCTCTTTGATTGATCACTTGCTGATTCTTATGCCAACTATGTAGGGGAATGACAAGAGGTTTCTAGTCTTCATGAACAAGACTGTAACCTCCCCCGAGACGCTGTGTGGTGGCTGTCCCCCTCCTTTTGCACAATTCCTTGAAGCAGTGAAGAAGATACAATTTGTTGAGCAGCCCACCTACTCGAAGCTCATTTCTCTTTTTGGAAGCTTGATATGCCCCCCCTGCACCCTGTTAAAGACCATTCGGATTGATGCAATTTTGAAGGTGGTTGCAAACATGACATCACTGAAATTACCTCACATATTTTTATTTTATGTCAGATGGTTTTATCTCTTTTTCATGGCTCTATCATCTGTTGTTAAATAGGCTGACCATGTTTCCAACAGGTTCACCAAAAACGTGGAAGATTGCAGGTAAATAATGAAGAAGATGAGTGTCATAGAAAGAAACGGATAAAATGTTTGATTGATGACAGACCATGACCATGTACATGTAAGAATATAAATAAAATCTGTAAAGTGCCAATTGAGAAAACATAAATCTCATGACTAAATTATTTATTATTATTGTTCTTATTTATTCATAAAGAAAATGATAGTTTAAAAGCCTGATATTAAGGGCATGAATATAATACTTTTTTAATGTAATCATAGCTATTGATAAAGGTGTGTAATTAATATTTATGCAAAAACAGAAACTATATCAATCAATGATAATAATACAAGACAACCATTTAGAGGGCGTGAGTATAAGTAGTATAATATCACAGTTACTCTTGCTAGGAATATGTATCATTTATTGCCAACATTTAAACTTTAGAAATGTTTTGTACCTACTATCTATTCACCTTGGAAATGGCACCACTTTGGACGTAACCTATTGAGTACAGGAATATAATATGTTTAAGTACGTTCACACTTACAAATTATCAGAAATAATTATTAGACCGATAAATGTAAATTTTATGCATAAATAATGAATATTACTTTTTTATAAGAAAGCTGGCACATAAAAATACAGTATTAAAGGGAAGAAATCTAATATTATTTCATACAATCATAATGATTAGTTGCAATGAATAATTACTATAGTTTACCAAAATGAAAATTTTATCAGTAAATAAATGAACACTACAAGTATTGGATTAAATGGCACGAATTTGATAGTTTAGGTTATATTTATAATTACTAATCACTATGATTAAAATTATTTATTAGAATATGTAAAGTTATGAAGAAATAAGAATTATGTATTGGAAGCTTATGTGTCCACCAAAGGACACACATCCACCCCATAATGTGTTTAGAACCACATGTAGTCCAAAACTGAAAGTAATGTAATGTCGTAATTGGTTCCCATCATAGTAAAAGTATGATTTCTTTAGTGATGATCTAAAAATTAAGAAGCATCTAGATTCATAGAAGATTGGGTATATAAAGAGGAGTTTGAAATAAAAGTCGCATAGTTATGCTTTGTAATGTTTTCAATTTGAAAAGCATATCTTGACAAAGTTAAATCTTATATGATTCACATGAATGAATGTCATCGTATATACTTTTTATACATTGCACCCTCTAGATGTTTTCCTAAACTTGAAGAAAAATGTACCCATCGTCAAATCTTGATTCATTCTATTGATGAGTGGAAAATAAATTTCTTGTCTAAACTAAGACTTTAAGCATAAGTAGGAAGTTATTGTATTAACAAGTGTGCCGACCATTACATTTATGAGGATGATGAATTAATCATGGAAACTATTTATTGAAAAAAATTATTATCTATTTTGACTGTAGTCTAATGTAAAATTGTAATTAAGAGTTACATAATTCTATATGCGACCCCTATTAAATGTTTTTGAGCCAAATCTATATTGTATATAAATTTGTATATAGTTTTACACATATAAAATGAGATTTTTGCCTTTTTAAGAATACATGTACAATATTTTCAAGTAAATTGATAATATTTTCAAGTACAATATTTTTACCTTTATTATTTGTTAATATAATGTCTTTTTTTGTCATAATAGGAAACCACTGATAAGTTTTCATTATCATGACTTTTTAATTAGTAAATAATATATTTTTAACCTTAACTCATGATAAATAGACTTATATTTCTATTAAATTATGAAAAATAGTTTTCAATTGATTAATGTGATTTTTTTAGCTAATTAGATAAGTTTTTTATGTATTTATATGATTTTTATAATCCTATTTTTTGAGATAAATCAAGAAAAAGAAATTAAAATAAAAATATAGCAAAAAATGGAGACCCGTCAGCCAACTGAGCCTGCAAGTAGGTCAGAAGCATAGTTGGGGGGACCGCGAGCAAGGGCTTGGGTGACTAGGACCAATGGAGACATGTGTGCACCACTCCCCTTCCACGTCACCAATGGCCAGCCAAGTTTGAGGCAAGGAGTGGTTGTACATGTGAGAGAAAAGTACTTATTACTTGTAAATGTGATATTACTATATATTTGCCTAAAACTTTGGCACACAAGTGATGTGAGACGAAACCCACATCACACCTTCCCTTGAAAAGCTTTGAAGATTTTAATACTTAAATTACTTCTTAATTATAATAGAGATATACTATGACGATGTCACTTGATAAGGGCATTAGAGTACTTATTTTAATCTCTCTCATGCAGGCGGGCAATATGTATGGGTTTGAATCCTCCTAGAGCCCAATGAAGGATTATCTCGACTTTCCTATAGACCACCAGTGAAGGATTAAGCCACTAAAATTGTTAGATCATTGGTAAAAAACTTGTCAACATAATTTGCAAAGTATTGTTACTAAAATTGCTGAAAATGATTTGCGATAAAAGGATCACGAATTCATTGAGTAAATCATCTTTGATTGATAGATGAACAAGCCATTGTCAAGAAGAAGACAATCTGTCGTGAGATGAGTCACCACCTCTTGAAAGCATACTAGATACAATGAAGAGCCTTCTCTTGCTGCACAGACTTAAGGATGAAGTTCCTTAACATACGTCCCACCTCCATCTAGCTTCTCTCTGTCAGGTGACAGCCGCTAAAGAGTCACAAAGTCGTCATTTTTTAGCTCTGCTAAGTGACAGCTGCCGGAGACAATTTGATGACCCATTTCATTGATTTCTAGACTTCACATGGATATCTAGAGATTGCCCACATTATCCTTGTCCAAGGAGAGCCTTTGAGGCCATGGACACTACATGACAATCTTCTCCAATACCTAGAATTCTCGTGCATCATCGACACATTGCCGCCGTGATGTTGGAACTTTATTTTTCTATTTTCAACTTAATTTCTACTTCATTTAGTAATAATTTGTATAATTTAAATTTACCAAGCTATATTTGATTCAATTACGATTCTTTCACTTTTTACAGATCTTAATTTGATCAATTAGATCATTTGTAATTGCTTACACAAGAATCACTAGGTAGAACTTTATTTCTATTTAATTCGCATTCGTCGGGCACTGACGTCATCTTAACATCGACACCCTTATTTTCTTTTTTCACGAATTGAAGTATATTTTATTTTTATTTCTCAGTGTAAAATTCATAAAAAAATATATTCTTTGAGAAAAATACTAAAAGTTACCTAGTATTATATTACATCTTTGTGATCGACTTGGAAAATTACCACTATTTTTGTAAATTTCATTGAATTATAATTGATATATTTGTTCAGAAATACTTTTAAATATCTAAAAATTAGTATTTTCTAGTTTTATAATTTTTAAATTTGTGTGATTTACAATACAACGACTAAATCACGTCAAAAAGTTTTTCACCTTCCTATAGAGATCAAACATAAGGCTTATTAGGTTATAAAGAATCTTAATCTTTCTTTAGACCCCATAGGTAAGCACCATAATGTTGCAATTGCAAGAGCTTCAAGAACTACCCAATGAGATGTACGAGAAATCTCTGATTTACAAAGCAAAAATGAAGGCTTTTTATAACATGAAGGAGAGCCGAAAGAGCTTTCATGAGCATCAAAAAGATTGGTTTTACAATTCTCGATTGAAACTATTCCTCAAGAAATTAAAATCTAGATGAGATGGACCATACCTTGTGATTAAAGTTTTTGACTATAGTGCAGTATTAATTACAGAATTGAAAACTGGTGAAAATTTTAATGTGAATGGGCAAAGATTAAAACCTTATTTAGAAACGAACCCTCCTTCTTTACCCATTTCCACTCAAATTATATGATCCATCCATTGAGCCTCAATCTTCTTAGAACTTCCCCTCCATGATGTACTCTAAGATGGCATAGCTTTCTTTTTTATTATTTTTCTCTATCCTTTGATGTTTTTCTTGAGTTTTTATTAAGCAAATAGATCCAGCGTTCTTCTAGAGGAAGTGCATATCATGACATGGATTAATACAAAAGAAAATCAGAAGGATGAAGAGTGAAAATCGATTTGCACATTTAATGCTTTCTCCTTTTTCTCTTATATAGATGCATTGAGGACAATGCAAATGGTTGTTTGGGGGGGAAGAATAAATGCATGAGGGTGAATACATGAGACTACATCAAGTGCTATAATGCTTATAACTAAATGATGAAGTTCATCATCTTTCATGGTACATATAACCCACACTCTGAAATTGAGAAAATCTACTTTGATCTTCTGTCGGATTTATGTTATGAATTCTTATTATTAAGTATGAGTAGTAAATTGAATCCTTCTCTTTCTTGATTAGTAGTCGGTCGAAAAGTTTTCAAATTAGTTGACGCTTTTACAAATCATTAATCATGATTAAATTTGAGATAAAAGGATAGAACATGGTAAAGATTACACTAGAAAAAATAAAATAAAAATCGTAGTAGCAGCTTAGCTGATTTTGTGGGGCTTCCACATGTGAAATTAGGATCAACAAGGCTTGCAAAATACTTCTTGTAACGATTCTTCTAGCTTTTATAGATCTTAATTTGACTAATTAAATCATCTATAATCATTTATGTAAAAATCACTAGGCAAAACTCTATTTCTGCCCAGTCACATTCATTAGGTGCTGACATCATCTTGACATCTACACCTTTATTTCCCTTTTTCACAAATTTTAAATATATTTTCTTTTCTTTTTTTAGTTTAAAATTCATAAAAAATCATATTCTTTGAGAACATTTCTGAAATATTACCTGATATTATATTATATCCTTATAATTGACCTAGAAAATTTCCACTATTTTTAGAACTTTGATTAAACTATAATTGATATAATTATTCAAAAATACTTCTAAATATCTGAAAATTAGTATTTTCTAGTTTTATAAATTTAAAATTTCTATGGTTTACTAAATAAGGGATATTTTAGGTATTAAAATTATTAAAAGTTTTCAGAGGCTATGACCCCAAGTTTAGTCCCACATTGATTATATGCCGAGTTTTGAGATTGATGTATAGTAATACTAGACTTGATAATTGATAAGTTTTCATTATCATGAGTTAATAATTAGTAAATAATATGGTTTTAGTCTTAACTCATGATAAATAGACTTATATTTGTGTTAAAGTGTGAAAAGTAGTTTTCAGTTGATTAATGTGGATTGTTGGGTAATTATGTGATTTTATATGATTTTATATGATTTTTACATTCTTACTTTAGAGATAAATAAAGAAAAATAAATTAAAATAAAAAGAAGATAAATTGGGAGAACCCACTAGCCAGCCGAGCTTGCAAGCAGGTCAAAAGCACAGTTGGGGAGTAGCCACGAGGAGGGGCTCAAGTGGCTTGGACTAATTGGGCATGTGTGTGCCACCCCCCTTCCTCATCACTGGTGGCCAGCTAGTTGTGGGGCAAGGAGTGGTTGTACACGCACGAGAAAGGGACTTCATCGAAAATGTAGTATTACTATATATTCACTAGAAATTTTGGTGCACAATAGATGTAAGACTTTTTTTAACTCGCATCACACCTCCTTAGAAAGGGCAAGGGGGGGGGAGAATCGGTGCAAGTTCAAATCTTCCCAAAACCAAAATTCATATTTTGTTTATCTAATTATCACGACTTTCTTGTAGATCACTAGTGAAGGATTAAGCAACCAGAATTGCTGGATCATCGACAAAAATCTTGTCAACGTAATTCGCGGAGCATTGTTACAAAAATTGCTGAACGATTCACAATAAAAGGATCGCAAATCTATCAAGCAACTCATCTTTGATTGATCGACGAACAAGCCATCGTCAAAAAGAGGACAATCCGCCAGGAGACGAGTCGCCACTTTTTAAGAGCATACCAAATGCGATGAAGAGCCTCCTCTTGTTGCGCAGACTTGAGGATGAAGCTTCCTAACACGTGCCCCACCTCCATCCAACTCCTCTCTGTCGGGTGATAGCCGTTGAAGAGCTGCAAAGTCACCATTTTTCTACTTTACTGGGTGATAGTTGTTGGAGATGATTCAATTCGACAACTGATTTCATTGATCTCTAGACTTTATAAGGAGATCTAGAGATTGAGCACGTCATCTTTATCCAAGGAGAGCCTTCAAGGCTATGGACACTACACGACAATCCTCCTAAACGCTCAAGATTCTGGTGCATCTCTGATGCATTGCTGCCATGACGCCGGAACTTTGTTTTCCTACTTTCAACTTAATTTTTATTTCATTTAGTGATAATTTTTTGATTTTAAATTTACCAAGATATACTTCATTTTATTACGATTCTTCTAGATTTTATAGATCTTAATTTGATCAATTAAATCATCTATAATCACTTACGTAAGAATTGTTGAGCAGAACTCTATTTTTGTCTGATTTCCATTCGCTAGGCGTTGATGTGATCTTGACGTCGCACCCTTATTTCTTTTTTTCATAAATTTTAAATATATTTCCTTTTTATTCACAAGTATAAAATTCATAGAAAATAGTATTCTTTGAAGACAATTTTGAATAATTACTAGATATTATATTACACCCCTCTGATCGACCTAGAAAATTACTACTATTTTTAGAAGTTTTATTGAATTATAATTGATATATTTATTTAGAAATACTTCTAAATATCTGAAAATTTGTATTTTTTAGTTTTATAAATTTTAAAGTTGCGTGATTTATAGTACAATGATTAAGTCGCATCAAATTTTGGTACCGTTGTCGAGGATATATTGCATAATATTTAATATTTTTCTATTTTTCTCTTAGAGTACATAAAAAAAGTTAACTCTTATTTTATTTTCTTTTTGTTGATTTTTTTTTTTTTTAAAGAAACGAAGAGAAGCAAGGCAAGGATTAAAGCATATTGAAGGAGGGTAACAATTACTAAACTTTTTTTTTCTCAATTTTATTGATTTTTTATGCATGGTAGAAGATCCTTGCATCTAAGGCTAGAAAATTCTTTTATTATTTCATTCAAAACTAAAAATTTGAAAGAAAAATTAATTTTGATGGATCCTGATGGAAGTAGAGGTCAAACTGAGAACAACCTTATGGCCATGAAAAATTATTATATCCCTAATTCATTTCAAAGAGCATCTAATATTAAAGTCCCATTAGCACTCACTATTAAATTCAAAATAAATCTAGGAATTTTTCAAATGCTCCCTAATTTTCATGGATTGCCTTTAGAGGAACCTCATCAGCACTTAGAAAAATTTCATATGGTCTGTGATTTAGTTAATCTCCTTCAAATTACACTAGAAATTATTAAAATGAAATTATTTCCTCATACATTAGGGACAGAGCTAGTCATTGACTACTCACATTAGATAGAGAATTAACTAGCTGAAAAGACTACAATGGAGATACAGGTACGTGTTTCCTTTGTTTCTATTTTCAGGTCTATCACAAGCCACAACTATGACATCATCATGGCGCTCATCCCATACCACCGATGTGGAATGCACTTTGCCTATCAGTACAAGACAGACAACAAGGCACATCGTAATCCACTCGGGTACATTACTTCCAATCATTACTCTCCTCATAATCACCTCACATCTACTATCTATGACCCTCAAGTAGTGAGGACATAGAACTATCAGCACATGTTGGCATTTGCCCACTTTTGAACTATAGGTCTATAGCACATCAAACCTGCCAAACTAGTTGTGAATCGTCAACCTAGTATCTCTCTCAAGATCTCATTAGTACCATCAGCCAGCTTGAACCCATGAGAAGGTAAAGATCTATTTCCATAGGATTGACCCTCTCTCCTCTCTCTCTCTCTCTCGATTCTCTATTTCTTTCTCCCTCCCTTTCTCTCTCTTGAAAAAAAAAAAAAAAAGAAGAAGAAAAAAAGAGACAGCCTACTTCTTTTCCCGGAATCACTAGCCCATCATAGACAATTAGTGGAGGGTGAAGGAAAGGCCCCCCCCAAAAAAAAAAAAAAAAAAAAAAGTAGGCAACCTACTTCCCTTCCCTTAATCACTAACCTAATACTCCAAAGGGAATTACCCTTGTACACCAAATAATGGGCATTAGTGGAGGGTAAAAGAAGAGTCTCTCAAGGAGAGAGAAAGAAGAGAGAGAGAATAAGAGAAAAGAAAAGAGTTAGAAAAAGAGACCAAGTCATTCCTCATGGGGTGAAAGGTCTCTTACCTACTTCCAGGAAGTACGGTAACTGATGGTACTAACAAGATCTTGGCCAGAGAGATTAGACGCATGCAACACTAGGAAGGCAAGTTCATATTTGGGCTTATTGTCATGCTCCAGCATAGTTCTATCCTCCTCACTGCCCTAACTACTCTTTTCTCACTACTTTATACCATTTTATTTATTTCTTAGAACTACTTACTACAACAAACTCTTGTCTTGTAGGAACACCGCATGGCGCACAACATAGAGGTCTACACGTCCTACTATTGTTGAGCAGATCTTCCAACTTTCATGAACTCAAAGGCTCCTTCAGCCCAATGTAAATCAACCACCTTCTTCAAATATGATGAACGCATTGGAGTCTATCTCCAGTATTATCACATCCCCTCTTCAAGAAAGGTATTTAATTCTCCATGTCATCCTCGCCCCTTGTGCGAATGAGATCTCACTTATGTAACCTCAAAATGAGGTCAAACTTTTATCACTAAATCAAATTTTCTTTCTTTAAAAAAAAAAAAAACTAGCTAGAAAGACATAGAGCAGATCTTTCTTTGAAAATTTTATGCCTTAGGAAAAACTCAAATATGAGAAAACATATATGGAGTTTTCCTCAAAGATTAGGAGAAAGTTTACATGAGACATAGGAAACATTTAAAGATTTACTTAGAAAGTGTCCTCATCATATTATACCTAAGTGGCAACTCAATAGAATTTTTTATGATGGATTATTAGAACAACATAGAAATATGGTTGATTCTATATGTGGAGGAGCTTTGATAGAGAAAACCCCTGATGAGATTTACAGTTTTTATGAGAATTTAAGTAAAAATTCTAGAGATCAAGCCTCTTTCGAATTATATGACAGGGATAAGAAGAAAGGAATTTATGAATTACATCATGATGATGATTCTAAATTTACAAATGAGGTTAATCAGATTAATCAAAGATTAAAAAAACTTGATTTACTTATTGACAATATTAGAAAGCCTCTTAACCCTCAATTTAATTCAAATAGTACATGTCCTATGTATGATGAAAATGATCCTTTCGAATTTCAATATCATCATAGGCAAGAAAAACTGTAGGTACCCCACGATTTTAGTAAAAATAAGAAATATTTTTTTAATTCTTATAATCCTAATTGGGAGAATAATTTTTGGTGGAGAAACACAAATAATATTTAAAATCCAGAAGCACTTAGATCCAATTCAAATTTTGAATTTCGTCTAAAATAGGAACATAGATTTCAAAAAACTTGGTCCTTTCAAATCCAACCTGATGCTATAGAAATGACATAGCAAATGAGCCAAATAATGCAACAAACTATGAATCAAATGACGCTACACTAGAAATAAATTATAGAGGCTTTTGGGAATAAGAGAGAAGAGGGACAGCTACCTAGTTAGCCCATAGAAAATTCAGAGAACCACCCAACAATAGGATTTCAGTAAGAAGAGTCTAGTAGCATAAATCTAGGAAAAAACTCACAAAATGAAAATGTTAGGATAGTGAATACATTGAGTGATAATATTTTACCTGATCTTTATTTCCAACTATTAGAAGAAATCGATGATCCATTAGAAGTAAATAAGAATATTAAGGCCAAAAATATAGTAGTAGAAAATTTGAATAAAATCATTTATTGCTCATACTTGATGAAGGAATATAGTGAGGATGATGAGGAGAAAGAGCCCTTAAATGAAGAAACAATAGTTGATCATGGAAAATCATCCAAATTTTAGTAGAAGGGAGTAAGGACAGAAATGAAGAAAAACATATTTCAGGTGAGGAAAAATCAGTTGATTTGGGAGATGTAGGAGACGAAATTAATAAATCTAATCATAATTTTGTAGCCATGGATGTTGATAGTGAGGATGATGATGTATATCATATACCAAAATTAAAAGATAGCTCTTGAGAAGATGAAGAATTTGATGAGTTGAGAAACGAAAAGCTAGAAAGAGTTGATTCAACTAATGAATATGAATATAGAGATAATTTTGGAGGAGCAAATTTGAATTTTACTAAATTCATTAGATCTGAGATTAAAGAAGACAATCCTTCCATCCTTCAATACCCACAGCCCATTAGAATTATTTCTAAGCTTGAAATATTTCACATTTTATGGCATGATCACATTTTATGGTCTATTAATAGAAAGTATTTATTAATGAATGAGAGTCTTACAAAAAAAGATAGAAATGAGGAAAGATTCTTTTCAAAATGGAAATATTATTTTTGGGAAAATTTTGTTAATTTCTATTTTGTTTTGGCTGAAAGTATGTCAAGGTATATATATGAAGCATATGAATTTATGCTAAATCTGAAAAAGAATATCATGAAACTTACCTTGGGATACAAATATATTTTGATGGTCATAGATCATCTTATATGATCTAAGAGTTGTCTAGTTGAAGACACTAAATTCAGCACTGCATGGGAGGCAACCCATCGTTTTTATTTCATTATGTTTGACTTTTTTTCGAAGCTCTATTTTCTTAGAATTTTGTAGTACTTGTTTCTGTATTTGTTTTTTCGAAAAAGTGCAAGAGGAGGAGTGTAAGATGAAGTAGAAAATCAAAAACGAGGTTTAGGTGATGTCTTTCTGAGCCTTATCATTTATGAAAAATTTTAATGCTTAACTTTGCACATATGCATGCTTCACTTGAAAATTATATTTTCTGCATATTCTGTTTCGATTTTTCTGTGTCATTGACAATGTAATTTTTAAGTTGGGGGGTGAAGTATTCATTATTAATTTATGCTATAGGACAATTAAAAACGTGTTTGTATTAGAATAGCAACTGAAAAAATAAAAATAAAATAAAATTTGATAAACTACAATATCTATTTTCTAGTTTTCTGTCAAGAACAACAAACTCAAAAATAGCAGACAAAAAATAGCCCAAAATTTGACATTGTGGAGACCTTTTTCTCACATTTCAATCCCCTAGACGTATATTACTGAAATTCAAAATTACAACGATAAAGATGATAGTTTTGATTTCTTTTTGACAAATTTATTGTTGCTAACAATAGAACTAAAAATAGAAAACAGAACTGTCAAAACTATCTAATTTACAAATTTCTTACATCATATTGTATGTATGAAAAATTAAATCAATTAGATTGATTGATACCAAAAGATACTAGGAAGATTATTATTGAGTCAAAAGAATAATCTAGTAGCATGAAATGTTAGAATACTCCTTGGATACATGATAGATAACAAGGATTTGATTTTACAGATTTTCACTTCATGATCTTGATGGATAATAGTTACTTAATGTGAAAATTTGATTGATCATTTGAGTTTGATGGAGATTTTTACACCCCGATTTATAGGACTTGTGAGGAGAAATCACTTATCTCGAAAAAAAGAAGAAAGAGAGAACAATGTGAAAAATCTAAAAATGAAGAGTACACATGGAGGGTGTGATACATCATTCTCATTGTCAAAAATCGTGCATAGAAAAATACTTACTACAAAATAAGTGGATAAAGTGAAAGCCTTGAAAATGAATAGTACACATGGAGGATGTGAGACATCATTCTTAGTGTCGAAATTTGTCTACGAGAAAAGCTACTTATCCACTATATATATAAAAAAAAAAGAAAAAGAAGAAATATAGTGTAAACTTCAAAAATTAAGCCATGGAAAAAATTAAATGTAAGATCAATATATATTCTTAGATGAGTATTGACAATTAAAACATCTTGTAAATATATCTATGAGTGAAGAAATGATAGAGATGTGAATAGAAGAAGTGAAGTCTAGATTGTTATTCTAAGGAGTGCTTAAATATTTAAGTGCTTGACATCATTCTTAAATACTTGATATAAGAATCCAAAGTGTCTAAAGGTGCATCATTTCTGATTGTATTTTTTTTTATTTTTATGTATTGAAATATGATGTTTGAGATTTGTAAAAAACGAATTCGTAATTCTATTGCAAAGAGACTAGCAATGATTTAAGTTGGAGGTGTGATAAGTCTTCATTATTATGAGTTAATAATTAGTAAATAATATAGTTTTCACCTTAACTCATGATAAATAACTTATATTTGTGTTAAAGTGTGAAAAGTAGTTTTTAATTAATTAATGTGAATTTTTAGGTAATTATGTGATTTTATATGATTTTATATAATTTTTATAGTCTTACTTTTGAGATAAATGAAGAAAAAGAAATTAAAATAAAAATAAGACAAATGGGGAACCCACCGGCCAGCCAAGCCTGCAAGCGGGTCAGAAGTGCAGTTGGGGAGTAGCCGCGAGCAGAGGCTCAAGTGGCTTGGACCGATTGGGCACGTGTGCACCACCCCCCTTCCACGTCACTAGTGGCCAGCCGGTTGTGGGGCAAGGAGTGGTCGTACACATGCAAGAAAAATACTTCATCAAAAATGTAGTATTACTATATATTCATCAGAAATTTTGGCGCACAACCGATGTGAGACTTCTTTAACCTGCGTCACACCTCCCAGAAAGGGCATGGGGGCAATTGGCATAGGTTCGAAAGTGAAAATTCATATTTTGTTTATCTGATTATTGTGACTTTCCTGTAAACCATCGGTGAAGGATTAAGCAACTAGAATCGCTAGATCATCGACAAAAATCTCGTCAAATGCAATTCACAGAGTATTGTTACTAAAATTATTGAATGATTTGTGATAAAAGAATTGCAAATCCATCGAGTAACTAATCTCCGATTGATCGACAAACAAGCTGTCGTCGAGAAGAAGACGATCCGCTAGGAGATGAGTCCCCACTTTTTGAGAGCATACCAGATGCGATGTAGAGCCTCCTCTTGTGATGCAGACCTGAGGATGAAGCTTCTTGACACGCGCCCCACCTCCATCCAGCTCCTCTCCATTAGGTGACAGCCACCGGAGATGATTTGATGACCCATTTCATTGATCTCTAGACTTCGCAAAGAGATCTAGAGATTGCCTATGTTGTCTTTGTCCAAGGAGAGCCTTCAAGGTTGTAGGCGCTCAAGATTCTGGTACATTACCGACGCATCACCGTTGCGATGTTGGAACTCTATTTTCCTACTTTCAACTTAATTTTTGTTTCATTTAGTGATAACTTGTTGATTTTAAATTTACCAAGATATACTTCATTTCATTATAATTCTTTTAGATTTTCCAAATCTTAATTTAATCAATTGAATCGTCTATAATCATTTATGTAAGAATCATTGGGCAGAACTCTATTTCTGCCAGATTTGCATTCGCGAGGTGCTGACATCATCCTAATATCCGAACCCTTATTTCTTTTTTTTGTGAATTTTAAATATATTTATTTTTCATTTACTAGTATCAAATTCTTAGAAAATAATATTCATTGAGGACAATTCTAAAAAATTACTAGATATTATATTACATCCCTCTAATCGACCTAGAAAATTACTGCTATTTTTGAAAGTTTTATTGAATTATAATTGATATATTTATTCAGAAATATTTCTAAATATCCAAAAATTCATATTTTCTAGTTTTATAAATTTAAAATTTGTGTGATTTACAATACAACAACTAAGTCACGTCAATAATCAATGTATCCCTTTCTCACATGTGTACGGCCACTCTTTGTCACATGCCCGACTAGCCATTGATGATGTGGAAGGGAAGTGACGCACATGTGTCCCCCTATCAGTTAGTCTTTAGCCGCTCAAGCCCTTACTCACGGTTCCGCCTATCTATACTTCCAACCTGTTTGTGGGCTTGACTAGGTGGCAAGTTTTCTCTTTCTTCTATCTTTTAATTTTATTTCTCTTTATTTATCTCAAAAATAAGATTATTAAAATTATATAAATTCACATAAGCTTTCATAATTAGCCAAATTAATCAATTAAAAACTATTTTTTATAATTTGACATAAATATAAGTCTATTTATCAAGAGTTTAGATTAAAACTATATTATTAATTAATTATTAACTCATGATAATGAAAACTTATCAATATCTTCATTAAAGTATATATTTTTTGATTAACATCAAACTTATCCAATGATTATATCATCGTATTTGTCTAAGGATCAAGAGAATAGATTACTTGATGTACTTAGGACATAGAGAGAGGTGATTGGTTGGTCTCTAGCAAATATTTGAGGACTTGATCTATTTGTGTGTATGCACATATTTTATCATGAGGAGAACTATCATTTCCTTACTAGCTTTTGTTTAGGACATATTTTATTGGTCGAGTGCTTTAGTTAGAGAACCATTCAAGGGCAATAGTGTAGTAGATGGGGCATAAAAACCAGAATTTTCTTCCCTTTTCCCTTCTCTCACATGCATTAAAGACTTTTGCATGCATTAGAGATAATGCATCATTCAAGTAGGGGGGAGAACAAAAAAATTCAAAAATGTTCTGAATATTTTAAAACTTTTGCTGCATTGATTATTTGCACAAACACGTATGATTAAACGAACAAAGCCTAATGCTCCTTTAAAAGGGTAAGTCAATTAGAAAAGTTTACCTTCTCTAGATTAGGGGTGTGGATCTCATGAAAAAAAGATAGGTGAATTCTTTACCATGATCATTATTCTTTGAAGTATGAAGGAGTTTTAGGTTGTATTCATGGGTATGTGGTGCGACAATAAATGGCTAATGATAGTATATTGTGGATGAAAACGATTGAACTAGATCATCTTAGTCTAGTTATTATGTTGTGGTTGATAAGTCTTCATTATCTGTATTTACCTTATATTTATCAATATTTAGTGCATAAAATTAACAGAAATAATACATGTTACATTTAGTTCGTATGCATTCAGATCATTCATACATAAACATGTATTTTAATATTTTAAAAATTATTTTAAGATAATTAATTTAAATAATTATGCATGAAATATTTTTATGAGTTTTAGGATTTTCTAAATTTTATCCTGGATTTTTTGAAATTTTCTAGAATTTCTCATAATTTCTAAGAGGTTTTGATATAAAGGTCTAAAATAAAAGAAAATCAGAATGAGTTGGGCTGGGCCGAGCCAAGTGACCCAATGGGCCGGAATATTCAGAGGCTAAAAGTTAAACCATCAACAGGTCGACAGTGGAAGCAGAACCGACGAGTTGGCATGACACTTAAGCAGATGTGGGACACGTGGCCCACACGGGTTCGACGACATTTCAACGGACATCGTGAACAGAAATTGGCACAATTTACGTCAGACCTCAAAGAGAAATGTAATTGGAGATCCGTACCTAATGGCAGAACGTGAAAGAAGAGCGGGTGATAGAGTAAGGCTGTCATTGATCTCTCTTTCTTTCGCGCCTTTTCTCGCTCCCTTTGTCTGTCTGCTCTCTCTCACTCTATCTTGCTCTCGCTTTCTTTCTGTGGATGCGTCCTCGCTCTACGAAGCACGGCGGAGTTCGGACAGCCTGCCGCCTTCTCCTCTCCTCTCCGTCGAGTTCTTCTGGAACCCTTTCTCGTGCGCGAATCCGGAGGAAGAGTGGGAGGCCGCATCCGGCGGAGGAGTCCACCGCCGAAGACGCCGAGGTCACGGTCGGCGCCGCCTCACGGAGAGGTCGTACGTTCCCAGGCTTCTGCTTCCCTGAAAGGCCGCTCCGGGTATGTTCTAGTGCCGTCTTTCGACGAATTCTCGCCTTTCGTTGATTCGGGGGTTATGTTCTAGTGCCGTCTTTCGACGAATTCTGGCCCTTCGTTGATTCGGGGGTTATGTTCTAGTGCCGTCTTTCGATGGGTTCGTGATTTTCTGTGTCGGGGGCATCTTCTTATGGACTCTTTGGATGGGATCTTTATTTTCTTTGATTTGGACTTTCGGTTGCCTGCGGTGGTGGGGGTGGTGCGAGATTGCTGAAGAAAGCTCTGGCTTTCCTCCTTCCTCTTATTTATTTACCTTCTTCCGATTTGTTTTGCCGCTTCGTTGCTGATTCGATTTGATGTTTGGTCTGGGTAGGGGGATCTATCTTCTTCTTTAGACTTCCATCCGATTGCTCTTTGGGGACGGATGAGTTTACCGTCTGGAGGAGAAAAGATTATTTCAGCAAGGTTTATCGATTGACGGTGACGGGTGAGCGTGTTGAATCAAGGGGCACATTCGATTTTCAGATCGCTGAGCGATCGACCAGTTTCTGGAGAAGAACCCGGTGATTTCCGGCAGGAAACAACACCCTCCGTACCTGCAGCTCTCCCGAGCGTTATTCCCCACCCAGAAAAACCATCAGAACTTGGTGGCGGGCTGTCCTGTTGAGAAAGCAGCTGGAATCGAGGGAGGAAGTGTGGACGAGGTTGTCGGGCTACAGGAGGAAGCGAGGATGTCTCCCATCCCGGATCGGGTACATGCTTCGACGTCCCTCATTCCTTTCCTTGACGGCGACTGTAGAGAGCTTTCTCTCTCCATCCCAAAGCACATCACATCTTGACAATAGGAATGTCCTATCCAAAATCGACAGGTGCAGGTCGGAAATTCTCCATTATACAAGGTAGAGAGAATGTTGGGTGCAGGAGGTTTTGGGCTGGTCTACATTGGACGAAGGGTGGCTGGTGGATCTCAGGGCGATGGGCCCAATGCCTTTAAGGTTTAGTTTCAACCTCCCATCACTCCTGCCAAGGGAATCTTTAAATACTGCTGTTTTATGTTGTCTCTTTCATTTTCCTGCGGTGGGTGTAGGTAGCACTGAAGTTTGAGCATAGAAATAGCACGGGTTGCAGATTTGGCCCCCCATATGAATGGCAAGTTTATGAGTAAGAAGACACCCCCTACTGCTCTAATTTATTACGTATTGTGTCGATCTAAAACTACGTTCTTCATCTGACTTTGTGAATATGGTTTTAGCCATCTCAAGGGATGCTATGGATTGCCTAGGGTGCACTACAAGGGCCGCCAAGGAGATTATTTCGTCATGGTTGGCGTAGAGTCTTTCATTTTATTGTTTCCTCGAATTATGTTTTTTATTGAAAGCTAATTATGATATTGTTGATGATGATTGCTGCAGATCATGGACATCCTTGGACCAAGTCTCCTGGATGTGTTCATATCCATTGGGCAAGTGTAAGAAAATAATCTTGACTTCATATTCAAAGTCAATATTCTGTTGAGAATTGTGCTATTGAGTTTGACTAACTCCTTGGACAGAATGCCACCAAATATGGTGGCTTGTATTGCTGTGGAGGCAATATCCATCCTTGAGAAGCTACACCAAAAAGGGTACGTATGGCTTTGTGGCAGTGTGATATTTTTTCAATTAAATTTTTGCAAAGGTCACAGTAATCAATTCATTGCTCCCTTGTGCACTCCCCTCCCTCCCTCCACCCACACAAAAAAAAAAACATGCCAGGTTTGTGCATGGAGACGTCAAGCCAGAGAATTTATTGTTGGGTAAACCCGGAAGCTCAGGGGAGAAGAAGCTTTTTCTCATCGACTTTGGGCTGGGTATGTTGCTGCATTCCAATCACTTCTTGTTTTCACCTTTCGCACCTATTGATTTTAGAGTAGGGTTTGTTTTTCCAAGTATATAAACAAATTCGTCTTGACTGAGAAGTCCCTGTCTGTATCAACATCAGTGATATTTTTGTGCTTTGTTCAGAGCCTGTACAAATGCTAATTGGTGTCATTAATATTTTAATCAGCTTCAATGTGGAGGGACAGTTTGTCAGGCCAGCATGTCAGCTTATGCCAACAGCCAGATAATTTCAGGTTTTTTGGGAAACGATATTCTATTTTTTCCCTAAATTCTTAGCTAAGAGGAGGATTCATAAAATCTTACCCCTACCTTACTATCTATCTCATGTTCCCTAGGGGCACAACACGATATGCAAGCGTCCATGCACATTTAGGCCTCACAGCGAGTAGAAGAGATGATCTTGAGTCATTGGCCTACACTCTGATTTTTTTGATTAAAGGAAGGCTGCCGTGGGAAGGCTATCAGGTTTGCTTTCACCTCTACTTGTACATGTTCTCCCATCTCTTTGATTGATCACTTGCTGATTCTTATGCCAACTATGTAGGGGAATGACAAGAGGTTTCTAGTCTTCATGAACAAGACTGTAACCTCCCCCGAGACGCTGTGTGGTGGCTGTCCCCCTCCTTTTGCACAATTCCTTGAAGCAGTGAAGAAGATACAATTTGTTGAGCAGCCCACCTACTCGAAGCTCATTTCTCTTTTTGGAAGCTTGATATGCCCCCCCTGCACCCTGTTAAAGACCATTCGGATTGATGCAATTTTGAAGGTGGTTGCAAACATGACATCACTGAAATTACCTCACATATTTTTATTTTATGTCAGATGGTTTTATCTCTTTTTCATGGCTCTATCATCTGTTGTTAAATAGGCTGACCATGTTTCCAACAGGTTCACCAAAAACGTGGAAGATTGCAGGTAAATAATGAAGAAGATGAGTGTCATAGAAAGAAACGGATAAAATGTTTGATTGATGACAGACCATGACCATGTACATGTAAGAATATAAATAAAATCTGTAAAGTGCCAATTGAGAAAACATAAATCTCATGACTAAATTATTTATTATTATTGTTATTATTTATTCATAAAGAAAACGATAGTTTAAAAGCCTCATATTAAGGGCATGAATATAATACTTTTTTAATGTAATCATAGCTATTGATAAAGGTGTGTAATTAATATTTATGCAAAAACAGAAACTATATCAATCAATGATAATAATACAAGACAATCATTTAGAGGGCGTGAGTATAAGTAGATATTTATATCATAGTTACTCTTGCTAGGAATATGTATCATTTATTGCCAACATTTAAACTTTAGAAATGTTTTGTACCTACTATCTATTCACCTTAGAAATGGCACCACTTTGGACGTAACCTATTGAGTACAGGAATATAATATGTTTAAGTACATTCACACTTACAAATTATCAGAAATAATTATTAGACCGATAAATGTAAATTTTATGCATAAATAATGAATATTACTTTTTTATAAGAAAGCTGGCACATAAAAATATAGTATTAAAGGGAAGAAATCTAATATTATTTCATACAATCATAATGATTAGTTGCAATGAATAATTACTATAGTTTACCAAAATGAAAATTTTATCAGTAAATAAATGAACACTACAAGTATTGGATTAAATGGCACGAATTTGATAGTTTAGGTTATATTTATAATTACTAATCACTATGATTAATATTATTTATTAGAATATGTAAAGTTATGAAGAAATAAGAATTATGTATTGGAAGCTTATGTGTCCACCAAAGGACACACATCCACCCCATAATGTGTTTAGAACCACATGTAGTCCAAAACTGAAAGTAATGTAATGTCGTAATTGGTTCCCATCATAGTAAAAGTATGATTTCTTTAGTGATGATCTAAAAATTAAGAAGCATCTAGATTCATAGAAGATTGGGTATATAAAGAGGAGTTTGAAATAAAAGTCGCATAGTTATGCTTTGTAATGTTTTCAATTTGAAAAGCATATCTTGACAAAGTTAAATCTTATATGATTCACATGAATGAATGTCATCGTATATACTTTTTATACATTGCACCCTCTAGATGTTTTCCTAAACTTGAAGAAAAATGTACCCATCGTCAAATCTTGATTCATTCTATTGATGAGTGGAAAATAAATTTCTTGTCTAAACTAAGACTTTAAGCATAAGTAGGAAGTTATTGTATTAACAAGTGTGCCGACCATCACATTTATAAGGATAATGAATTAATCATGGAAAGTATTTATTGAAACAAATTATTATCTATTTTGACTGTAGTCTAATGTACAATTGTAATTAAGAGTTACATAATTCTATATGCGACCCCTATTAAATGTTTTTGAGCCAAATCTATATTGTATATAAATTTGTATATAGTTTTACACATATAAAATGAGATTTTTGCCTTTTTAAGAGTACACGTTCAATATTTTCAAGTAAATTGATAATATTTTCAAGTACAATATTTTTACCTTTATTATTTGTTAATATAATGCCTTTTTTTGTCATAATAGAAAACCACTGATAAGTTTTCATTATCATGAGTTAATAATTAGTAAATAACTCATGATAAATAGACTTATATTTTTTTTAAATTATGAAAAATAGTTTTCAATTGATTAATGTAATTTTTTTAGCTAATTAGATAATTTTTTATGCATTTATATGATTTTTATAATCCTATTTTTTGAGATAAATCAAGAAAAAGAAATTAAAAAAAAATATAGCAAAAAAGAGGGGACCCGTCAACCAACCAGGCCTATAAGTAGATTAGAAGTGTAGTCGGGGGGAGCCACGAGCAAGGGCTTGGGTGACTAGGACCAATGGAGGCATGTGTGCACCACTCCCCTTCCACGTCGCTGGTGGCCAGCCAAGTCTTATGTAAGGAGTGGTTGTACATGTGAGAGAAAAGTACTCATTACTTGTAAATGTGATATTACTATATATTTGCTTAAAACATTGGCGCACAAGTGATGTGGGACTAAACCCACATCACACCTTTCCTTGAAAGGCTTTGACGATTTTAATACCTAAATTACTCCTTAATTATAATAGAGATATACTATGAAGACGTCACTTGATAAGGGCATTAGAGTACTTATTTCAATCTCTCTTATATAGGTGGACAATCAGCACGGGTTTGAATCCTCTTAGAGCCCAATGAAACATTATCTCGACTTTCCTATAGATCACCAGTGAAGGATTAAGCCATTAAAATTGTTAGATCATTGACAAAAATCTTGTCAACGCAATTCACAAAGCATTGTTACTAAAATTGCTGAAAATGATTCGCGATAAAAGGATCATGAATCTATTGAGTAAATCATCTCTGATTGATCGATGAACAAGTCGTCGTCGAGAAGAGGACAATCTGTCGTGAGATGAGTCACCACCTCCTGAGAGCATACTAGATGCAATGAAGAGTCTCCTCTTGCTGCACAAACCTGAGGATGAAGCTCCTTAACATGCGTCCCACCTCCATCTAGCTCCTCTCCATCAGGTGACAGCCACTAGAGAGTCACAAAGTCATTTTTTCGCTCTGCTAAGTGACAGTTGCCGGAGATAATTTGATGATCCATTTTATTGATCTCTAAACTTCACATAGACATCTAGAGATTGCCCACATCGTCCTTGTCCAAGGAGAGCCTTTAAGGCCGTGGACACTACACGACAATCTTCCCGAATACTCAAAATTCTCATACATCATCGACACATTATTGCCATGACGTTGGAATTTTATTTTTCTACTTTCAACTTAATTTTTACTTCATTTAGTGATACTTTGTGTGATTTAAATTTACCAAGCTATATTTGATTCAATTACGATTTTTCTACCTTTTACAGATCTTAATTTGATTAATTAGATCATTTGTAATTGCTTACACAAGAATCACTAGGCATAACTTTGTTCCTATTTCATTTGCGTTTGTCAGGCACTGACATCATCCTAACATCCGCACCCTTATTTCCTTTTTTCACGAATTGAAGTATATTTTATTTTCATTTCTCAGTATAAAATTCATAAAAAAATTATATTCTTTGAGAAAAATACTAAAAAGTTACCTAATATTATATTACATCTCTATGATCGACTTAAAAAATTACCACTATTTTTGTAAACTTAATTGAATTATAATTAATATATTTGTTCAGAAATACTTCTAAATATCTAAAAATTAGTATTTTCTAGTTTTATAATTTTTAAATTACGTGATTTACAATACAACGACTAAGTCACGTCAAAAGGTTTTTCACCTTCCTATGGAGATCAAACATAAGGCTTATTAAGTTATAAAGAATCTTAATCTTTCTTTAGATGCCATAGGTATGCACCGTATGTTGTAATTGCAAGAGCTTCAAGAAGTACCCAATGAGATGTACGAGAAGTCTCTAATTTACAAAGAAAAAATGAAGGCTTTTTATAACAAGAAGGAGAGCAGAAAGAGTTTTCATGAGCATCAAAAAGTTTGGCTTTACAATTCTCGATTGAAACTATTCCTCGAGAAATTAAAATCTAGATGGGATGGACCATACCTTGTGATTAAAGTTTTTGACTATGGTCCAATATTAATTGCAGATCTAAAACTAGTAAAAATTTTAATGTGAATGGGCAAAGATTAAAACCTTATTTAGAAAATGAACCCTCCTTCTTTACCCATTTCCACTCAATTATATGATCCATCCATTGAACCTCAATCTTCTTAGAACTTTCCCTCCATGATGTACTCTAAGATGGCATAGCTTTCTTTTCCACTACATTCCATTTTTATTATTTTTCTCTATCCTTTGATATTTTTCTTGAGTTTTTATTAAGCGAACAGATCCAGTGTTCTAGAGGAATTGCATATCATGATACAGATTAATACAAAAGAAAATCAGAAGGATGAAGAGTGAAAATCAGTTTGCACATTTAATGCTTTCTCCTTTTTCTCTTATATAGATATATTGAGGACAATGCGAATGGTCATTTGGGGGGGAAGAATAAATGCACGAGGGTGAATACATGAGATTACATCAGGTGCTATAGTGCTTATAACTAAATCATGAAGTTCATCATCTTTCATGGTGCATATAACCCACACTCCTAAATTGAGAAAATCTACTTTGGTCTTCTGCCGGATTTATGTTATGAATTCTTATTATTAGCTATGAGTAGTAAATTGAATCTTTCTCTTTCTTGATTAGTAGTCAATCAAAAAAAATTCAAATTATTTGATGCTTTTACAAATCATTAATCATCATTAAACTTGAGACAAAAGAATAAAACATGGTAAAGATTACACTAGAAAAAATAAAATAAAATTGTAGTAGCACCTTAGCTGATTTCATGGGGCTTCCACATGTGAAATTATGATCAACAAGGCTTACAAAATACTTCTTGTAATGATTCTTCTAGCTTTTACAAATCTTAATTTGGCTAACAAAATTGTCTATAATCGCTTATGTAAAAATCACCAGGTAGAACTCTATTTCTACTCGGTTTGCATTCATTAGGTGCTGACATCATCTTGACATCTACACCTTTATTTCCTTCTTTCACAAATTTTAAATATATTTTATTTTCTTTTTTTAGTTTAAAATTCATAAAAAATCATATTCTTTGAGAACATTTATGAAATATTACTTGATATTATATTAGATTCCTATGATTGACCTAGAAAATTTTCACTATTTTTAGAACTTTGATTAAAATATAATTAATATAATTATTCAAAAATACTTCTAAATATCTAAAAATTAGTATTTTTTAGTTTTATAAATTTAAAATTTGTGTGGTTTACTAAACAAGGGATATTTTAGGTATTAAAATTATTAAAACTTTTTGGAGGCTATGACACTAGGTTTAGTCCCACATTGGTTATATGCTGAGTTTTGAGGTTGATATATAGTAATACTAGACTTGATAATTGATAAGTCTTCATTATCATGAGTTAATAATTAGTAAATAATATGGTTTTAGTCTTAACTCATTATAAATAGACTTATATTTATGTTAAAGTGTGAAAAGTTATTTTTAGTTGATTAACATGAATTGTTAGGTAATTATGTGATTTTATATAATTTTATATGATTTTTATAGTCTTACTTTTGAGATAAATAAAGAAAAAGAAATTAAAATAAAAATAAGACAAAATGGGGGAACCTTCTAGGCCCGCAAGTAAGTCAGAAGTGCAGTTGGGGAGTAGCGATCAGTAGGGGTTCGAGCGGCTTGGACCAATTGGGCACATGTGCGCCACCCCCCTTCCATGTCACTGGTGGCCAGCCGACTGTGAGGCAAGGAGTGGTCATACATGTGCGAGAAAAGGACTTGATCGAAAATATAGTATTACTATATATTCACAAGAAATTTTAGCACACAATTGATGTGGGACCTTTTTAACCCCCGTCACACCTCCCTAGAAAGGGCGAGGGGGCAATTAGTGCAAGTTTGAATCCTCCCAGAGCCAAAATTCATATTTTGTTTATTTGTTTATCGTGACTTTTCTATAGATCACTGATGAAGGATTAAGCAACCAAAATCACTAGATCATTGGCAAAAATCTCATCAACGCAATTCGTAGAGTATTGTTACTAAAATTGTTGAACGATTCACGATAATAAGATCGTGAATCTATCGAGTAACTCATCTCTGATTGATCGACGAACAAGCTATTGTCAGGAAGAGGATGATCTATTGGGAGACAAGTCGCCACCTCCTAAGAGCATACCAAATGCGATGAAGAGTCTCCTCTTGTTGTGCGGATCTAAGGATGAAGCTTCTTGACATGCACTCCACCTCAATCCAGCTCCTCTCTGTCAGGTGACAGCCACTGGAGAGCCGCAAAATTACTATTTTTTTACTCCACCAGGTGGCAGCCACCAGAGACGATTCGACAAGCCATTTTATTGATCTCTAGACTTTGCAAGGAGGTCTAGAGATTGCCCACGTCGTCTTTGTCCAAGGAGAGCCTTCAAGGCCATGGACACTGCACAAAGATCTTCCAAAATGCTCAAGATTCTAGTGCATCACTGACGCATCACCATTGTGATGCCAAAACTCTGTTTTCCTACTTTCAACTTAATTTTCCTTTCATTTAGTGATAATTTATTGATTTTAAATTTACAAAGATATACTTCATTTCATTATGATTCTTCTAGCTTTTCCAAATCTTAACTTGATCAATTAAATTGTCTGTAATCGCTTATGTAAAGAATCACCGAACATAACTTTATTTTCGCTCGATTTGCATTCCTCAAGCACTGATATCATCTTGATGTCTACACCCCTATTTCTTTTTTTTGTGAATTTTAAATATATTTCCTTTTCATTTACTAGTATAAAATTTATAGAAAATAGTATTCTTTGAGGTCAATTTTGAATAATTACCAGATATTATATTACATCCCTTTGATCGACCTAAAAAATTACACTATTTTAGGAAGTTTTATTAAATTATACTTGATATATTTATTCAAAAATACTTCTAAATATCTGAAAATTCGTATTTTCTAGTTTTATAAATTTTAAATTTACGTGATTTACAATACAATGACTAAGTCACGTCAAATTTTGACACCATTGCTAGGGATGTATTGCATAATATTTAGTATTTTTCTATTTTTCTCTTAGAGTACACAAAAAAAATTAACTCTTATTTTATTTTCCTTTTGCTAATTTTTTTTTAAAAAAAAGGGAACGAAGAGAAACAAAGCAAGGACCAGAGCATACTAAAGGAGGGTAACAATTACTAAACTTTTTTCCTCGAATTCATTGATTTTTTTATGCATGGTAGAAGATCCTTGCATCCAAGACTAGAAAATCCTTCTATTATTTCATTCAAAAATAAAAATCGAAAAGAAAAATTAATTTTGATAGATCCTGAAGGAAGTACAGGTCAAATTGAGAACAATCCTATGGTCATGAAAAATCATTATATCCTTGATTCATTTCAAAGAGCATCAAATATTAGAGTCCCATTAGCACTCACTTTTAAATTCGAAATAAATCTAGGAATTTTTCAAACGCTCCCTAATTTTCATGGATTGCCTTTAGAGAAACCTCATCAGCACTTAGAAAAATTTCATATGGTCTGTGATTTAGTTAATCTCCCTCAAGTTACACCATAAATTATTAAGATGAATAGGCTTTTCTTCAAAAAAATTATTCCTTAAGAAAAACTCAAAATATGAGAAAATTTATATGGAGTTTTCCTCAAAGATCAGGAGAAACTTTACATGAAACATGGGAAACATTCAAAGATTTACTTAGAAAGTGTCCTCATCATGCTATACCCAAGTGGCAACTCAATAGAATTTTTTATGATAGATTATTAGAACAACATAGAAATATGGTTGATTCTATATGTGTAAGAGCTTTTATGAAGAAAACCCCTGATGAGATTTATGGTCTTTATGAGAATTTAAGTGAAAATTTGAGAGATCAAGCCTCTTTTGAGGAATATGTAGGATCAATATTATTCTTGAATGAGTATTGATAATTGAAATATCTTGTAAATATATCTATGAGTGAAGAAGTGATAAAGATGTGAATAGAAGAAGTGAAGTCTAGATTGTTATTCCAAAGAGTGTTTAAACATTTAAGTGTTTAACATCATTCTTAAATACTTGATATAAGAATCCAAAGTATTTAAAGGTGCATCATTTCTAAATTTTTTTTTTCCTATATTGAAATATGATATTTGAGATAATTATGTGATTTTATGTGAATTTTTGGGTAATTATGTGATTTTATACTATTTTTACAGTCTTACTTTTGAGATAAATGAAGAACAAGAAATGAAAATAAAAATATTACAAAATGGTGGGACCCGCTGGCCAGCTGGGCTCACAAGCAGGTTAGAAGCACAATCGAGGAGTAGCCGCGAGCAAGGGCTCGAACAACTTGAACCGATGGGGGCACATGTGTGCCACTCTCCTTTCACATCACTAGTGGCCAGCCGGCTAAGGGGCAAGGAGTGGTCGTACACGTGAGAGAAGGGACTTTGCTTAGAAAGCTAACATTACTATATATTCGCTTAAAAAATTGGCACACAGCTGATGTGGGACTAAACCCGCGTCGCACCTTCCTCAGAAGAGGCGGGCGACCGGCGCAGGTTCGAGTCCTTCTAGAGTCAAAAGTCATATATTTTTATCTAATTATTGTGACTTTTCTGCAGATCGCCGATGAAGGATTAAGTAACGAGAATCACTAGATCATCAGCAAAAATCTCGTCAATGCGATTCGCAGAGCATTGCTACTAAAATTGCTGAAGGATTCGCGATAAAAGGATCGCGAATCCATTAAGTAAATCATCTCCGATTGATCAACAAACAAGCCGTCGTCGGGAAGAGGACGATCTGCCGAGAGACGAGTCCCCACCTCCTGAGAGTGTACCAGATGCGATGAAGAGCCTCCTCTTGTTGCACAGACTTGAGGATGAAGCTCCGTGACACGTGCCCCACCTCCATCCAGCTCCTCTCCGTCGAGTGACACCCGTTGGAGAGCTACAAAGTTGCCGTTTTTCCACTCCATTGAGTGACAGCCACTAGAGACGACTCAATGACCCATTTCATTGATCTCTAGACTTCACGAGAAAATCTAGAGATTGCCCACGTTGTCTTTGTCCAAGGAGAGCCTTCGAGGCCATAGACACTGCATGACGATCCTCCCAAACACTCAGGATTCTAGTGCATCACCGACACATCGCCGTCGCGACGCCAGAACTCTATTTTCCTACTTTTAATTTACTTTACGCTTCATTTAGTGATAATTTTTGTGTTTTTAAGTTATCAAAATATACTTTGTTCAATTATGATTTTTTAAGCTTTTATAGATCTTAATTTGATTAATTAAATCATCTATAAACGCTTACGTAAGAATCATCGGGTGGAACTCTATTTTTGCCTGATTCACGTTCGTCGGGTGCTGACATCATCCCGACATCTGCACCCTTATTTCCCTTTTTTTTGTGAATTTTAAATATATTTTCTTTTCATTTCCTAGTATAAAATTCATAGAAAATCATATTCATTGAGAAAAATTCTGAATAATTACGAGATATTATATTACATCCTTGTGATCGACGTGGAAAATTATCGTTATTTAGGAAGTTTTATTGAATTATAATCGATATATTTATTCAGAAATACTTCTAAATATTCGAAAATTTGTATTTTCTAGTTTTATAAATTTTATATTTGAATGATTTAATATACAACGACTAAGTCACATCACCTCCCCTCTACTTGAGTCTTGCATTGTCCTTAATGCATGTGAGAGAAGGGAAAAGAGAAGAAAATTCTGATTTTTATGCCCCATCTACTACACTATTGTCCTTGAATAGTTCTAACTAAAGCACTCGACTAATAAAATATGTCCAAAACAAAAGCTAGTAAGGAAATGCATAAAAAGAAATGATAGTTCTCCTCATGATAAAATATGTGCATACACACAAATAGATCAACTTTTCAAATATCTGCTAGAGACCAACCAATCACCTCTCTCTATGTCCTAAGTACATCAAGTAATCTATTCTCTTGATCCTTAGACAAATACGATGATATAATCATTGGATAAGTTTGATGTTAATCAAAAAATACATGCTTTAGTGAAGATGGTTGATAAGTCTTCATTATCATGAGTTAATAATTAATTAATAATATAGTTTTAATCTAAACTCATGATAAATAGATTTATATTTATGTCAAATTATGAAAAATAGTTTTTAGTTGGTTAATTTGGCTAATTATAGAATTTTATGTGAATTTATATAATTTTAATAAACTTATTTTTGAGGTAAATGAAGAGAAATAAAATAAAAAGATAGAAGAGGAAACTTGTCACCTAGTCAAGCCCACAAGTAGGTTGGAAGCATAGACAAGCGGAATCGTGAGTAAGGGCATGAGCAGCTAAAGACGGACTAATAGGGGGCACATGTGCATCACTCGCCTTCCACATCATCAATGGCCAGTCGGGCATGTGATAAAGAGTGGCCGTACACATGTGAGAAAGGGACACATTTATTATCAAGTCTAGTATTACTATATATCAACCTCAGAACTCGGCATATAATTACTGTGGGACTAAACCTGGGGTCATAGCCTCCGAAAAGTTTTAATAATTTTAATATCCCTTATTTAGTAAACCATAGAAATTTAAAATTTATAAAACTAGAAAACACTAATTTTTAGATATTTAGAAGTATTTTTGAATAATTATATCAATTATAGTTTAATGAAAGGTCTAAAAATAGTAGAAATTTTCTAGGTGAATCACAGGGATGTAATATAATGTCAGGTAATATTTCAGAAATGTTCTCAAAGAATACGATTTTTTATGAATTTTAAATTAAAAAAGAAAAGAAAATATATTTTAAATCTCTGAAAAAGGGAAATAAATGTGTAGATGTCAAAATGATGTCAGCACCTAATGAATGCAAACCAGGCAAAAATAGAGTTCTACCTAGTGATTTTTACATAAGTGATTATAGATGATTTAATTAGTCAAATTAAGATTTGTAAAAGCTAGAAGAATCGTTACAAGAAGTATTTTACAAGCCTTGTTGATCCTAATTTCACATGTGGAAGCCCCACGAAATCAGCTAAGGTGCTACTACAATTTTTATTTTATTTTCTCTAAAGTAATCTTTACCATGTTCTATCCTTTTGTCTCAAGTTTAATCATGATTAATGATTTGTAAAAGCATCAACTAATTTGAAAACTTTTTGATTGACTACTAATCAAGAAAGAGAAAGATTCAATTTACTACTCATAGTTAATAATAAGAATTCATAACATAAATCCAGCAGAAGATCAAACTAGATTTTCTCAATTTAAGAGTGGGTTATATGCACCATGAAAGATGATGAACTTCATCATTTAGTTATAAGCATTATAGCACCTGATGTAATCTCATGTATTCACCCTCATGCATTTATTCTCCCCCCCCAAACAACCATTTGCATTGTCCTCAATGCATCTATATAAGAGAAAAAGGAGAAAGCATTAAATGTGCAAACTGATTTTCACTCTTCATCCTTCTGATTTTCTTTTGTATTAATCTATGTCATGATATGCACTTCTTCTAGAACGCCGGATCTGTTCGCTTAATAAAAACTCCAGAAAAATATCAAAGGATAGAGAAAAATAATAGAAAAGGAATGTAGTGGAAAAGAAAGCTATGCCATCTTAGAGTACATGATGGAGGGGAAGTTCTAAGAAGATTGAGGTTCAATGGATGGATCATATAATTGAGTGGAAATGGGTAAAGAAGGAGGGTTCATTTCTAAATAAGGTTTTAATCTTTGCCCATTCACATTAAAAATTTTACCAATTTTCAGATCTGTAATTAATACTGCACCACAGTCAAAAACTTTCATCACAAGGTATGGTCCATCTCATCTAGATTTTAATTTCTCGAGGAATAGTTTCAATCTAGAATTGTAAAGCCAAGCTTTTTGATGCTCATGAAAACTCTTTCTGCTCACCTTCTTGTTATAAAAAGCCATCATTTTTGCTTTGTAAATTAGAGACTTCTCGTACATCTCATTGGGTAGTTCTTGAAGCTCTTGCAACTGCAACATACAGTGCTTACCTACGGCGTCTAAAGAGAGATTAAGATTCTTTGTAACCTAATAGGCTATGTTCGATCTCCATAGGAAGGTGACAAACCTTTTGACATGACTTAGTTGTTGTATTGTAAATAATGTAAATTTTAAAAAATAAAAAATAAAAATAAATAATAAAAATCACGTAAATTTAAAAATTATAAAACTAGAAAATACTAATTTTTAGATATTTAGAAGTTTTTCTGAACAAATATATCAATTATAATTCAATCAAATTTACAAAAATAGTGGTAATTTTCCAAGTCGATCATAGAAATGTAATATAATATTGGGTAACTTTTTAATATTTTTCTCAAAGAATATAATTTTTTTATGAGAAATGAAAATAAAATATACTTAAATTTGTGAAAAAAGAAAATAAGGGTATGGATGTTAGGATGATGTCAGCACCTGACGAATGTGAATCAAATAGAAATAGAGTTTTGTCTAGCAACTTTTGCGTAAGCAATTACAAATGATCTAATTGATCAAATTAAGATCTGTAAAAGGTGGAAGAATCGTAATTGAATCAAGTATAGTTTGGTAAATTTAAATCACACAAATTGTCATTAAATGAATTAGAAATTAAGTTGAAAGTAGAAAAATAAAGTTCCAACATCACAGCAACAATGTGTCGATGATGTACGAGAAGTTTGAGCAGTCGAGAAGATTGTTGTGCAGTGTCTACGGCCTCAAAGGCTCTCTTTCGACAAGGACGATGTGGGCAATCTCTAGATATCCTTGTGAACTCTAAAGATCAATAAAATAGGTCGTCAAATTATCTCCGGCAGCTGTCACTCAGCGAAATGAAAAAATGATGACTTTGTGACTCTCTAGTGGCTGTCACCCGACGTAGAAGAGTTAGATGGAGGTGAGGCGTGTGTTAAGGAGCTTCATCCTCATGTCTATGCAGCAAGAGGAGGCACTTCATCGCATCTAGTATGCTCACAAGAGGTGGTAACTCGTCTCTTGACAGATTGTCCTTTTCTCGATGACAACTTGTTCATCGATCAATCAAAGATGATTTACTCGATGGATTCATGATCTTTTTATTGTGAATTATTTTTTAGCAATTTTAGTAACAATGCTTTGCGAATTGCGTTGAATTTTTTTTTACCAATGATCTAATAATTTTAGTGGCTTAATCCTTCACTAGTGATCTATAAGAAAGTCGAGATAATCTTTCATTGGGCTTTAGGAAGATTCGAACTTGTGCTGATTGCCTGCCTACATGAGAGAGATTAAAATAAATACTCTAATACCCTTATCAAGTGACATCGTCATAGTATATCTCTATTATAACTAAGGAGTAATTTAGGTCTTAAAACCTTCAAAGTCTTTCAAGGGAAGGTGTGATGTGGTTTTAGCCCCACATCACTTGTGTGCCAAAGTTTTAGGCGAATATATAGTAATATCATATTTACAAGTGATAAGTCTTCACTATCATGAGTTAATAATCAGTAAATAATATAGTTTTAACCTTAACTCATAATAAATAGACTTATATTTGTGTTAAAGTGTGAAAAGAGGTTTTCAGTTAATTAATGTGAATTTTTAGGTAATTATGTGATTTTACATGAAATTATATGATTTTTACAATCTTACTTTTGAGATAAATGATGAAAAAGAAATAAAAAAATAAAAATAAGACAAAATGAGGGGGATCTACCAGCCAGCTGGGCCTACAAGCGGGTCGGAAGCATAGTCGGGGAGTAGTCGCAAGCAAGGGATCAAGCGGCTTGGATAGATAGGGGCACGTGTGTGCCACTCCCTTTCCACGTCACCGGTGGCCAATCGGCTATGGGGTAAGGAGTGGTACACGTGAGAGAAGAGACTTTGCTTAGAAATCTAACATTACTATATATTCGCCTAAAAATTTGGCGCACAATCGATGTGAGACTAAACCCGTGTCACACCTTCCTCAGA